TTAATAACCCCCTGGCCTCTCAAGAGGCAGTATATACTACTTTTGACCTATATCCTGCAAGATGCTTTCTTTTCTCCTTACTAAGGATATTACACTAGAGCTACGTCTACATTGGCCCCTTTTCCGGAAGGGGCATGGTAATTTTTGAAATCGTAATAGGGAAATCCGCGGGGGATTTAAATATCCCCCGCGGCATTTAAATAAAAATGTCCGCCGCTTTTTTCCGGCTTTTAGAAAAGCCGGAAAAGAGCGTCTACACTGGCCCCGATCCTCCGGGGAAAAAAATCCCTTTTCCAGAGGATGTTATAAGAAAAGGGATTTTTTTCCAGAGGATCTTATAAGATCCTCCGGAAAAGGGATTTTTTTCCCCGGAGGATCGGGGCCAGTGTAGACGCTCTTTTCCGGCTTTTCTAAAAGCCGGAAAAAAGCGGCGGACATTTTTATTTAAATGCCGCGGGGGATATTTAAATCCCCCGCGCATTTCCCTATTGCGATTTCAAAAATTACCATGCCCCTTCCGGAAAAGGGGCCAATGTAGACGTAGCCATTGTGGATACCATTTAATAGTCAAGACAAAAATCATCTGTTCAAAACCAAACAAAAAATCAACCCATCTATCCAAATTTTTTGACAATCGACATTTGATCTCCATAACTGGACTGTTAAATATATGTAATCAGAGATTTCACCCAATGTAATGCAATCACTAGAAATTACACATTCACATTGTAACGGTGTTCACTCTGTAATGTAGTGAAACCCTATTAAAGATCAAGAACTGATTACTGCATAACGCCTCTCTAAACAAAAACTCACTGTTGTAATAACAATCATTTTGTTTTTGATATTTACATAGCAAGGATCTGTAAACTTGCCAATACTTCCTAAATATATAAAGTGCTTATAAAAAATTAAGGGGCTCTGAGACAAGCCTCCAAGAGTTCTGCACAAAGACAGTCATTTCTTTCCTTGACAAAGGTGACTTAGGGCATGTCTACACAGCAGTGTTATTTCAGAATTAATGGATGTTATTCCAAGATTACGTATTGTATATCTACACAGAAAGCCTGTTATTTTGAAATAAATTCAAAATAACGGGCTTCTTACTCCGACTTCTGTAAACCTCGTTGTATGAGGCATAAGCGAAGTTGGAGGAAGAATGCTCTATTTTGAAATGGGTTCTGTGTAGATGTGCTCACATTTGACATAGGCTATTTCGACTTAAGCTATGCAATTAGCATAGCTCACATTGCATAGCTTATTTCAAGTTTAGCCCTTCTGTGTAGATGTGCTTAAGATAAAACAAGACAGAATCTTCTGGGAACCACAAGATGTACTGGTATGTACCCCAATTTCTTTTTTCTCATTTGAGATCTGAGCTCACTTCATGCAGAGGGCCACGCACCCCTTACGTACCTGAGAAAGAAGACATACTTTTAGACTGGATCTCAGCTTAGTAGTAAAATTCATTGCAAAGCAGCAGCAAACAGTTGAGGGGAGGAGGCTCACTGCCTAAAAGGCTGAGGGGCAAGGTTCCATACCAGGAGTTGTTCCTTAACTAGGTTGATCTACTCACTCCCTAAGTGGAGCCACAACACTTTCCATTTTACATGTAGGAATCTGTTAGCCTGCAGCAATGTTCTGTCCTGTGATACTCACAAAAAATAAGGCTAAAAAGTGTTGACAATGCTCCTTTGCTTGCAATCTGTGTGATATACCTGGCCCTGGACTTCTATGAGGGGTGGCCAAAAAGTTTCTGCCAAAAATATTGTTGACAAATCACTGTGTTTTTGGTAAATGAAAATTTGTGACAAAAACTCAAAATGTTTTGGGGCATTTTCTTGTTTGTTTTTTTCACAGGATGTGCAGCGCAGTGGGAAATCAGGCCCTTACATCTTTTTTCAGACTGCATCTGCAAACCTATATATTTGAATTGCTCTCTCCTCCTGCTAGGTATCGTATTATTCCCTAGATCCACTAGTTAATTCGGTAGTGCCTTTTGTTAGAAAGACCCTAGCCAGTTTTGGGCTCTGAGTTTGCAATAGGGTTTGTGTGGGTGATCTCTCACCGCTGCACAAAGTTCCATTGAGAGTAATGGGGCCACAGGCACCTCCCTCCTCCATGTTGAAAGTTGAATTGTGGAATTAGAGGCTTGAAATTGTGTTGTAGCCTCACACTGAGCATGAAGGAGGTTTATTTTATGATCACTATCAAGAACAAGATGCATTAGGCTGCAATCTGTAGATTAAGCGCAGTTCTCAAGCATAAAAATTACAGTCATTCCCCACCAGACAAATGAATTTTATGTGTGGGAAGATTTCTGCTCATGTACAGGGGCTACTTAGACGTTACAGAGCTGATGGTATCCACAAGTATTGTTATTGTGTTGGTACTTTGCAGAGCATCTGCTATTCTCTCAGTCAGATCTCTCTCTTTGTTCTATCTCTTCATCACAGGGTTTGCCACAACTGTGTCTCTCCTCTTCTCTTCCTGAGCCTACCCCTTTAGGTCTCAACAGCACCTCATATATTTACCTCGCCTGCACTGGAATCTCACAATTCTCCTTCTTGTTCAACCTGGCCCTGAACTACTGCACTTTGTGTGTCACGGCGCTTATCCAGCAGGTCTCACTGAACTCTGCCAGGTGAAGCTTTCTGTTTTCAGCAAGGCTGTTACCAGTGCTGAATGCAGTAACCAGGCAGCCTTCTCAAACCTGAGGTATTGGTTAATTTGAATAGTTGGAACAAAGCTTTTGGAGAAAAAAAGATTTAAAAAACAACAGTCGACACCTACCTTACTTAAAGGTTTACCATCCCTTGTTGGCTATGCAAGCAGATCTGCCTTCTTCAGATGTCTCCAGCTGGTTCCAGTGTCTCATTTTGAGTCGGATACCACAGCGCCTTCTATTGATCTCCTTAAGAATCAGCTATTCAGCCATGGAGTGCCTTTGCTGGCTGGTGTCTCATTCCTTTTCTCACAGGACTGCCCTCCAGCAGTGCCCTCACATTGGGGTCCTCCCCTCCCAGGGAACCCCAGGCCTCTATACCCCCTTCCTTCAGTGACCACCCACTCCCCCAGTCATCAGTGAGCCCCTGCCTTAGGGGCAAACTGCAGTGTGAAATAGCTCCTCATCACTGCCTTTTCTTCCACACTTTCTTGTAGCCCTAGTACCCTCAGGCCTTAAGAGCAAGGCCTCAGCCTGGGAGTTTGCCTGTTCAGAGCTTCCCAGCTCTGCCTCCCTTTCCCCAGCACTTCTGTTCCTTCAGAATCCTCTCTGGCTTATCAGCTGTCAGGTCCTTCCAGCTCCACAGCTGGAGCAAGACTCTCTTCTCCTCCTCTCCAGGAGCCTCAGTACATATAGCCCCAGCTGGGCCCTAATTGGCTGCTATTTGCTCTGCTGCTTGCTCGGCAAGATCAGACCTCTCCTAGGGCAGGATTTAACCATTGTTCCACCAGGAGCAGGCTGACTGCCCGCTCCCTGAAGAGTGAGTTCCTTTTTAAACCTACCAGGGTTCTTTTGATCTCCTTTGTTCTCAGGCCTTTTCTCATCCTGGCATTGTTTCTTAATAGCCCTCTAGTGTTGGGGGGGGAAAGGGGGAGAAGATTTATTTTGAGTCTTTTTTTCCTTTCCTACTTAGAAAAAAAATAACAGCTACCCTTACACTAAACCAAGGACGGGAAACCTTTCTCGGGTCGGGGGCCTCTGACCCACAGAAAAATCAGTCGGGGGCAGCACACCAGTGAGAAACAAACAAAAAAACCCAAACCCTCAATGAAATGGCCCCCGACTGGGAAAGAGAAAGACACTCCCCACATTCCCCTCACACACCAGAGTCTGGGGGGCCCAACCTAGTACATTTTGCATACTCCAGCCCTGCAGGGAGATGACAGGGAGGCTAGAACGCTAGCACAGGCTCCCCAATGCCGGAGGGAGCCCTGAACCTCAGGGGCCTGATCCAGGCTAACTGGAGGCTGCATCCAGCCCCTCGGCCCTTAGGTTCTCCATCCCTGCACTAAACCAATATTTTCATATGGCACACATCCCAGTGAACCAGGCCAATGTACAGTATTCATAGCTTATTACAATACAGCTCCAAATCCATTACAGTCTGTCAAATCTTCATTCTGTATATTTTTGCATATTTTATATACACTGCTCTTGGAGGACAAGTTTATTGGTAATTTCAATGTCCTCCCTTCTACTACACATTGAAAACCAGCTGGAGACACCATATTCCTATTATGTGTTTCTTAGGGCTTGCCATGCTTGTGTGTGTGTGTGTGTGTGTGTGTGTGTGTGTGTGTGTCCTTTGCTTTAAACCTAGTGTAATTTGCTCTCATGCTCTTATTTACACAACCAAGTTGTACTGGTTTCTTTACAGGTGTGATTTTTAGTTACAGATGTAGTTAAATAGGTGCAAGCCCCTGTCTGAATATTTTTATTTTGGTTTAATAGTACCTTATTTCCATATGGCTTAAATTGATTAGGAATCCCTTTGAGCTAAATCACAGCAAATCATTCTTATGCTGAAATCAGCATTTAGACAGGAAATTTACTCTGGTTTATTTAAAATTAGTTGAAAAATTGATCATATGTTAAACCAGTGACACTGTCTAATATAGGTAAGCCCATAAATTACATGCGCAAGCTAAACTCACATAAGACAGGTTTAATAGCATCTACACACACCAAGTTGCCCCAGTGAAACTAAAGCAGTTTAATATCATACCTTGATTAAACTGGTGTAACTTTGAAGATCAGAGAATAGAAAGAGCCAATAGGCCAATTCCTGTCTTCATACCTCATGAAATGCCGTTGACTTCAACAGAGCTGCAGCAGACTGAGGCCGGTTCTAGAGCTTTGCAATAGGAGGCTTTATACTGGTACCTACATGTGAGTCACACATCTCAAATACACAAAGTACTTTCAGTCAAAATTGGTGCTATGTGGCTCATTTGTTCAAATTATGTGAAATAAATGGGAACCCTCCCAAGTATTTGGTGTGTATTTCAGGAAGCTTGCTGTACAGCAGAAAAGGAGAAGCCGCCTAACAAGAAAGCTAACCTAGTTGAGAGCATTTGTGACAGCAGCACTTCATTACTGATTTCATGACAAAAAGGTTTCACTGAAGTTAGCAGCACCATGCTGTTCCCTCTCAAACTCTAAACATTGCTCTAAAATGGTTTGTTTTGTGGCAGCCCACTTCCTGTACCTTCTAGAAACGATTACTTAGATGCGTACATGAGAGTTCCTGGTCTGGGAGAAAGACGGACAATTGAGCCCTACGTGGATGATGTCTAATGTGGCTCTGATGTTGTGCCTCCATATTTCTACAGAAAAATGTTTTTTAGTATGAATATGCATAGCTTGAATATGTTTTATGCAAAATGGGGCATGTAACCTGTCTTTGAAGAAGATATATGTGTATATATTCTATTTGTGTGAATGTGCTATTCCTGCATTTGAAGTTAGAAATATGAAATATAAACCTGTTTATTAATCTAGGTGAGCTAGTGAAAGCTATAAGTGGAACTTAAGTAATTTAATGATGCTCAGCACAATGTCCTATGATGAATCTTGTTCTTCCTGTAAGGCTCGACTATGGTTGGGCCTGCTAAGATAGACCTGGGCAAAATACAGCCCGTGGGCTGGATCTGGCCCACCAAGCCACTGGGTCTAGCCCGCGGACGCAGCAGGGAGCCCCAAATAATCTCTCCTGCTTGCCCTATAGTCCTGCATGCTGCTCAGAAAAGCGACTGCAGGACCTTTTCTCTTTCAAAACCGTGATCCCGGATGGGAGCGGGGAAGGCTTCAGGCGCTGCCCCCACCCCAGCACAATCCCATTGGCAGGTTTCTGGCCAGAAACTGGTCAATGGAAGCTGCCAGTTTGAAAAAAGGGCAGAACACGTAGCGCCATGCCCCCTTTCCCCCACTCCAGTTCAGTTATTCATACAAGCACATAGCTCTGCAGCCTATGCAGAGGACAGGCAGGCTGGCTGGCTGAGAAATGTTTTAAGCTCTGCAAGCATTTAGCTCAGCAGGCTGGTAAGTCTCCTGGCCAAAGCCTGCCTCTGGCACCCCAGCCCTTCCCTGACCCTCTGACCACCCCACTCAACATACCCAAACCCTCTGCTCCCTCCTGTACCCCTACTCCCTCCCAGATCAGGCACCCCAAACCCCTGCTATCTTTGGTCTCAACCCAAACTCCTGCACTCCAGTACCCTCCCCTAGGTCACAAACCAAACCCCTGCACCCCAGTCCCCTGTCCTAGATCACACCCCTCTCCTGTTCTAGGTTACATTCCAAAACACTGCACCCCAATTCCCTACCCTGTCACAACTGCCTTCTTCACCCAAACTCCCTCCCAGACCCCACTCTCCCTCCTGCACCCCAATCTCTTACCCCAAGCTCCCTTCTGCACCCAACCTCCATCCCAGACCCTGCACCTCATTCATTAATATTATGGAAGAGTGTGGCCCTCAAACACTTTCCAAAATCTTAGAATGCCGCCCCCGCCAAAAATTATTGCCCATTCCTGTGCTAAGACATTTGCCAAGTCACCTGACGCTGGCACCCATTTTGCATGTGTTACTTTTCCATGGACGTGTAAACACATTGAAGCTGAACACAAAGAATTCCTGCCTTGGCAAAATTTATTTATAGGCAGGGAACCAAACAATAGGGGAGATGGCAGTTGTGAGAAACTAAGGCACCCTCTGCTTACCACCAAGATGACTACTGGAAACTTCTAAGACTAAACAGAGAGAAGGATCAGGCCCAAACTTAGAGGCTGCCTAGCTTGAGTGAGAGATTATTAAAATCATAGTTAGGGTAAGTAACTGCATGTAGCAAGCTTAATTGACACGTTTTGTTTTATTTTAGCTTTGTAACTTATTTAGATCTGTCTGATATCATTGTAACCATTTACATATGTCTTATACTTAATAACATCACTTTTGTTTATTATAGGCTGGACCTTCCTGGTCCTCAGGATCTGACCGGTCCCAGATGAGGGATTTTTCCAGACCAGAGGAGGTCATTTCAGGCTCCTCCCCTCCACCACATCTCCTTCTGGGATTCCTGGCTCTCCCACCCCCGCCTTTCACCTCCCGCAGCCTAGCTGAACCATATGGCAGCTCTGGGCCCTTCCCCAGCCCAGCTGAGCTGTGTGCCAGTTCCTGGCACCTCTCTCTCCCCTTGTAGCCCAACTGAGCTGCACACTGGCTCCCAGGCCCCAACCCCCATGCAGCCTTTTGGGAATCTCTGATCCTGGAACATCAATGATCATGCTGGACCATGGATGTTGCCAGACCAGAAAATCCCAGATTTTAGAGGTGCACCTGTATTAAACCCAGTGTAAATAATGGTTAGCTGTGAGGGAGGACAATAGCTGTACCTATCTCTCTTTAAGGGGGTGAACAACATATGAGCTTAAGAACATACAAATGGCCATACTGGGTCAGACGAAAGGTCCATCTAACCCAGTATCCTGTCTTCCAACAGTGGCCAATGCCAGATGCCTCAGAGGGAGTGAACAGAACAGGTAATCATCATGTGATCCCTCTCCTGGCCTCTATTCCTGGCCTCAGACAGAAGCTAGGGATTCTAATCCTACCCATCCTGGCTAATAGCCATTGATGGACCTAACCTCCATGAATTTATCTAGTTCTTTTTTGAACCCTGTTAAATTCCTTGTCTTCAGAACATCCTCTAGCAAGGAGTTCCACAGGAGTTGACTGTGTGTAACACTTACTCTGTGAAAAACTTTTATGCAAAGCAAGTTGGATTTAATCAAGGTTCTGGTTCCACTGGGGCTGTGCACATGAGTGCTGTGTCAAATACTAATGACAGCCTTCCCAGAGCTGAGCTGCTCTCAGGCCTGATCTATACTACAGTGGAAGGTTGAATTAAGATATGCAACTCTAGCTACGTTAATTACATAGCTGGAGTTGACATATCTTAAATTGAGTTTCTGTGCCATACACAGAGCAGGAGGCTGATGGGAGCAAATGCTCCCATTGGCTTTCCTTACTCCTTGTGAGGAGCAGGCGTACTGGCAATGATGGGGGCACCCTCTGAGTTTGATTTAGCAGGTCTTCTCTAGACACCCTAAATGGAACCCCAGAAGATTGACTGTGGCAGTGTCTATCTTCCACATTTTGTCTATCTGCCCCCAGTGTCTATGGTGCTTTGCTGTGGGCTGTGCCCCCAATTCTGTGCCTTTTCTGTAGGAGACCAGAGGTTCTGACTCAGCAGGACAGGATGATGAGGCACCACAGAGATAATGGCCAATGGCTCTGCA